TGGGAGAAAGGACAACCTTATAGCCATTTTGCCATGTCAGAGCCCTGCCTCTTGTCCTCGCCAGCCATAAACCTTGGCCAGCCACTTAGTTACTCTGAGCCTTGGTTTCTCATCTGTAAAATGGCAATCACAATACCTGCCTTGAAAAATTTGAGATCAATTTTGTTAATGTCTAGTTCAGTGTGCCATAAACTTTTTTTAATGCATGTAAACGTGTTCAAATTAAATCTCAGGACACCAATCTATAAAACAGTGCACTGGAAGCCAAAAGGGAGGGCCCTAGGACTCCTTCACCAAATCCTGGGGGGTTCAGGGAGTCCAGTGTGAAAAGATCTGGCCCCAATTCTGACAGCCAACTCTTAAGTCAACCAGAAATGCTACAGCAGTAAGAAGAGATGGAGAGATTGACACATTGCCTCCAGAGGAGGCAGAGGTGCACATGTGGAGGGGGAATGCACCACCCATGGGAGAACCTTGGGGGCTCTAAGAGGGAGGAGCTATTACCAGGGGCCCACTGTCTCATCTGTGGGCACCCACTCTGACTTCCTACAGGAGATGAGGAAATGAGAGACCCCTGTGCCATGGCTGCCTCTCACCCAGTAAACAGACTTTTTCTCCATTCTTCACACAAAATGCCTTGCCTCCCCATGTACCTACCAGCTAAATTCCTAAATGTTTGACTATCAAAATCTGGCTTTCCCTTTGAATTCACATTGTCAACCTACTGGAAGTCTTCTGTGATTGCCCTCAGCCAAAAAATAGCATTTCCTTCCTTTGACCTCCTCTAGTGCACAGAGCAGCAGCTAAGAGCTTGGGACTCAGTTTCTCTATCTGTAAGATGAGAATGTGAGGACTTAGTGAGATGATCCATGTAAAACCCTAGCACAGTCCTGGCACACAGTAGGCACTCAATAAATGTCAGCTATTCATTTTAATGCTGCGGTCTCTCCCCTGCCCCACAGCTCCTTCAGGCTGTGGCACACAGTAGGTGTCCACTGAATGCTTACCCAGGTGACCAGCAGGTGGCCCCACACCCCAATTAACCTCTCTGCCAGCTCCTCTGAGCCCCAGGGAACTGGTTCCCTTGAGTCACCAGCTGCCTTCTCCTCCAGGTCAGGGGACACAGAGGAGGTAGAAATGGCAGAGTGCCGGGCAGCTTAGTGCATCACCTAGCAGACACTTGCACTGTGCAGGTGACCAAGGCCTTTGGGCTCGGCCACCCTTCTCCGTGTTCACTGCAGCCCTGCCCCTTCCTTATGACGATCACTATAACACATAAGAAAGCTGAGATCGGCCGGGCGCGGTGGCTCAAGCCTGTAATCCCAGCACTTTGGGAGGCCGAGGCGGGTGGATCACGAGGTCAAGAGATCGAGACCATCCTGGTCAACATGGTGAAACCCCGTCTCTACTAAAACTACAAAAAATTAGCTGGGCATGGTGGCGCGTGTCTGTAGTCCCAGCTACTCAGGAGGCTGGGGCAGGAGAATTGCCTGAACCCAGGAGGCGGAGGTTGCGGTGAGCCGAGATCGTGCCATTGCACTCCAGCCTGGGTAACAAGAACGAAACTCCGTCTAAAAAAAAAAAAAAAAAAAAAAAAAAAAAAAAAGAAAGCTGAGACCTGGAAAAATGCATGATCCACCTGAACATAGAGCATTCCTCGCAATCCATCAACTCGCAGTGATAATGTCTGTCAAGGGTGCTGGAATAATCTGGTCCTGTTAATTCAGTGTTTCATTTTACTAATGGGCAACTGTAAAAATAATAACTGCCTTGCTCAAGGCTTCATATAAACCAAGCTCAGGTCTCCTGGCTCTAGACACCCCACTCCATCCCACACACAGCAGGAGAGGTGGGCTTGCCAGACCCTTCCCTGCCTGCTAGTTAAGCATGCTGGCTGCTCAGCAGGACAAAAGGAAGAATTTTACCCTGCCGGGTTTGTGGGCAGCTGTGAGAACACACGAGGGATGCAAAGGCTCGGCCCAAAGCAGTCAGGCCCAAATCAGTCAGGACCAAGGCAGGTAGGTCTGGAGACAGCCACACATGGCCTATCTTCCCCCTCCCCATGCTGGCCAGAAAGAAAGTTTCAAGCAGGCTTGGAAGCACTGAGATGCCTGCAGAGGCTGTAGCAGGCTGTATTTTGAGGCTCAATTGTGACATGGCAGTGGAGGGGCTGAATTGAGGGCAGAGAGGGGCTGGTGTGGAATAGCAATGAGCCAGGTTGTTGGAAGCCAACCAGCATCAGGTTTGGAGGACAGAATCAGGGCTATTGGCCAGATCAGGGGGAACATCACTGGGAAGAGATGTCACGCACGCACGCACACACACACACACACACACGCATGCACACACATGCATGCACACACACACACGTGTATATATCTTTCATGGAATTTTTTTTTTGTTTGAGACGGCGTCTCACTCTGTCACCCAGGCCGGAGTGCATGGCATGATCTTGGCTCACTGCAACCTCTGCCTCCTGGGTTCAAGGGATTCTCCTACCTAAGCCGCCCGAGTAATTGGGACTACAGTCGTGTGCCACCACGCCTAGCTAATTTTTGTATTTTTAGTAGAGACAGGGTTTCACAATGTTGGCCAGGATGGTCTCAATCCCTTGACCTAGTGATCTGTCCATCTTGGCCTCCCAGAGTGCTGGGATTACAGGTATGAGCCATTGCACCTGGCCTTTTTTTTTTTGTTTTGTTTTAAGAGACAGAATCTTGCTCTGTTGCCCAGACTGGAATGAAGTGGCACAATCATGGCTCGCTATAACTTTGAGCTCCTGGGCTCAAGCTATCCTTCCTCGACCTCCCAAGTAGCTTCTTAGGAAATTCTTTACCGAAAGCTGCCAGGAAAGCTATCATAGAGCTCGTGCAAATGCCTGTGTGTCTGGACTTGCTGATGAGAACAAGAGTCCACTTGGCTTCTTAGCTCTAAATCTAGCTGATTGTCAGAGATTTGCTCCCATTTCACAGACAGCCACACTGAAGCCCAAAAAAAGTGTGACATGGTCAGGCATCCAGCCTCCCGGTCCTGGCTTGTAAGAGCAACAACTGATGCAGGAGATGACGGAGCCAGGCCCTGGGCTGAGCTTGCCGGTGTACCAGGCTCCTCATGAGCTCTTGGGAAGTGGCCAAATAGATGTGGGAGATAATGGGGCAATCCTTCCATTTGTTCCTCTGCTAACTGCCTCTGGGGCACCCCTCCCCACCTAGTTACAGGAAGGGCTTTACCCTCTCCCCTACAACAGCAAGGGGCTAAATGTGACCAATAAGAATCTTTCCCTGAAACTGACATGTGGACACCTGTGCAGATGACCTCCCCAGCTAGGACTTCTGCAGTTCTGGTTTTGCCTGTGGAGAAGGCAAAAAAAAAAAAAAAAAAAGGCCAGTGCAGGCAGAGGATCAAGGCCAGCCCCAGGGAGACGCACAGACTGGCAGAGACAAATGGTAGATGGAGTCCTAGAGCATGGAATCCCTCTGTTCCTGAGGCCCTGCTCCTGTACTTCTGCCTGCAACCCTGTAACCTATCAGGCATCCTTCTCAGCACTGGGATGCATACAGTCTCTGTTTGACTTAAACTGCCCCATGACACCTCCTTCTCCTGGAGCCATGTTCTTCCTTCACAGACCACATCAAGACCTGATTCAACATTTTCAACATGTTATGTTTTTACCTTCTCCCTCATGAATGTAAACACCTTGAGGTGAGCCCCCTGTCTGAAGCTCTCACTGTAGCCTTCCTTGTACCCAGCATAGCTCGCAGGTACTGGATGCCTGGCAGCCAAGCAAGGGAGGCCATCCCTGCCTCCACAGCTATGTGACTAGACAGCCTACATCTACCTTTGTGTCTGGCCAGCATTCCTCCAGGTATGGAGTACACTAGGAAAGCTAGGCTGGACTACAGGCTCCACGGGGTCTCTTGAACTTATCTGGTCATCCTCCTGGAAGCCCAGGACTGGAACTGAAGCCCAGGAGGCCCAGGCCCATATGATGCTGCTCTAGGGAGCAGGCCCTTGGAAATAAAACCCCATGGGTGAGGAGGGCATGATTTTCTGGATGAAAAGTTGCGGAGGTAGATTTGGGCTGCTTTTTCCTCTACAGACTTCTAGATACTCTAGATGTAACTCTAGCTAGTTCTCCCCTTCCTGATGGCTAAGGATGTTGGAGTAGCTAATGGGTGTGGGGCACAAGCCATGCACCTGGCGCCTCACTAAGTATTTCACACACATCATCTGCTCAAATCCCCCACATGACTCCACGAGATGGGCACTATCATCACTAGGACACAGCTGAGGAAACTGAGGCCAAGAAACCTTCCCAAGGTCACCAGGCTGGGAAGCAGCAGAACATCTCAAGCCTGTTTGCCTGTCCCCTGCCTTCCAGCATCTCTGCACCCTCCCCCATGCCCTGAGGGAAGAGGAGCGGAGGAGCCAGCACTGCAGGCAGCAGATGAGCTCTTGGAAAACTGGGAGGTTTCAAGATAGAAGCTCGGGGAGAAATGCCAGTTAGAGCCCTCCTTGAGGCTGCCCGCAAGGGCTCCTAAGGGGTGAGAGTGCTCTGTTACTAGAGTAGTCAAAAGACAGTCTTGCAGCATCCCACCTCCTCCCCTCCTTGATATTCTCACTGCCAAATGAAATCTGGCAGCTTCTGAAAATAGCTCAGTGCTGCAGCAGGCACTCTGCCCGCCCTTCAGCAGGCTGGCACACAGCTGGGGGTGGCCACTGTGGGCAGCCACTGGCACACACAGGGCTGGGGGTAGGTGTCACACACACTGCACAGGGGCGGCACAGAGCTGGGAGGTATGTGGCAGCTGCCATCCCTCAGCTCCTCTGACCTTTCTACGCCTAGCAAGGACCCAGTGGCCTTGGAATTAGCATGGCATGCTTACCAGGCCTGAGGCACCCCCTCCAACTGGGGTGAAATCAGTAGGGAGTGTGAGAAGCTGCCCTTGGGCCACTTTTGTCCACCCCTGTAGACAAAGAGTAAACCCAGGAGCCAGGAGGAAATGATGAAATGGTGTTTATTACGGTCTGGATGTAAAACCCAGCAGTGTTGTCCTATCTGACATGGTCTAGGGTTTCCCAGCCAGTGAGACAGGGGCCAGGAAGGAACTAGGCTGGGTGTCAGGCACTTGTCAGGCAGTATTAGGCACTTGGCACCCTGAGGCTACCATGACGGGGTGGGGCTGGGTAAGCCTCCATCAGCCAGGCAGGTGTCTTTGCCCCGACTCAGGCCCAAGCCAGGACCAGACCTCTGAGCAGGGCTCGGTCACCTTCCCCAACCTCAGGTCTGACCCAGAGTAAAGAAAGAGACCTCAGGTTAATGGGAAGCCTCTTTAGCCCTGCTCTCAGCCAGCCACTTTCACACAAGTACACCAAAAGATAGCCCCTGAAATCAACAGAGAGGGGCTTTCCTGCCTGAGATCTGGTGAGCAGGTGGGTGCAGGGGAAGTATACTGGCTTTTGTCACAGTGACATTTTCCAAAGTGGAAAAAGGTTAAAAATATCCCTCACCTTAAGTTGAGATGAAAAGCCACCCTTTGGGGTAAGGAGTAGTGATGGGATGGGGAGGCCCAGGGATTCCCTCGGGGGAGAGCGCTGAGTGCTGTCCGGGCTGGGGCTGCAGCAAGGCAGGGCTGGACTGCACAGGGAGGCAGGCAGACTGGACCCTGCAGCCTCAGGGAGCCCAAGGAGGAGTGAGACTGAGGGGGCAGCCAGTGTTCGAGAAACCAGCCTCCCCAAGAAGGCAGAGGTGAACCTTGAATTGCCCCTCCTCCCTTACTCACTCACTCAGCATTCACAGACAGCACGTGGTCCCTGGTCACCATGGCAACCAATGGCCAATGCCTTTCTCAAGGCCAGGCCCATCTGCCCACCCCGCAGGGGGATGTCTCCGTGGAAGACGTGGAAGATGGGAAGCTCAGCCACAACTCCCAGTGGCCTAGAAGGCTACGGCCATGTACCAGGGCAAGACAGCACAGAGGCCTCACTCAGGCCACCCTGGCTAAAGGTGCTGCTGCGGCAGCAGGCGGCTTCCAGGCCATAGGCCCTGCCCCTCTCTAGGGCTTGAGCCTGGGCCAGAGATCTGAAGGAGGTTTAGGGTCAGTGTCCTCCATCCTGAAGTTCCAAGTGACAAATTAAAACAAAACAAAATCCTTTTGTTAAAAGAATGACCCTGGGCCCTCCTAGCCAGGGCCTCAGCACACTCCAGCCTGCCATGCAGGCTCAGAGGCCTGGCTCCTCCAAGTCCCCATGAGCTACTGGTTGTTGCAGCCTTGTGTAGCAGAGGAGCTGCCTGCCTGCTTTTTTCTCCGCTTGTTGAGGAGCCGGTTGTTAGAGGTCTTCAGGTCCTTGATCTTCACCTGGTCGTAGTCTACCCGCATAGTGGCCAAAGCACTGGTCATCTCCTCCTGGGGACAGACAGGATGGGGGGGCACTAAGAGATCAGGATGTACTGGCCTTTGGAGTTATCACCCCCTGCCTGGGCAGCCTCTTAACAATATCAGTGACAGGCTGTGCTGCCTCTGTGCCTGCTGTGTGCCCAGCACTGGGACAAGCCGTTTGCATCACATGATCCTCACTATAATCCTCTGTGGTAGACACTGAGCTTATTCACTAAGGCACAAAAGGATAGTGACTCCCTGGGACCACACCAAGGGAAAGCGGGATAGTGAACTAAACCAATTCCACCACAGAACCACTAGACCTGCAGAGAATGCCATCTCGCTGGGTAGGCAGCACACTGGGGCCTGGAGATTGTACTGCTGGAGTTGCTACTCCATGTGTTCAAACATGGCCTCCGCTGGGTCTAAAACCAGGCTGACCACCCTCCCAAATGTTGTTGGTTATGAGGTTGTCATCCAAGCTTGGTACCAAAGCCCCATTCATTGAGGAATTGAGTCAGGAGCAGCACACTGAATGGAGTAGTGTGGCCCAATCCTTGGAGTGCCATGCGAGGCACTCCAGAGGTCGGACCACTGCGACAGTCACTGACACCCCATGCTCCAGGCATAGAAAGGGCCCAAAGACCCCAGATCCTGGGTAGCCACCACCCTGAAGTCCCTTTTGCCAAAATCCTGGAACCTGCAGTGAGAGACAGAGACTAAGGCAGAGCCCACCCACCTTGACTTCATCCCAATGATCTTTGTCCTCCTGTAGCACTCGGGCCGTGTGGAGTGGGGTCTGTGGCACCACCATCGATTGCTGGAAGGAGTCCCGCACCCATGGATTAGAAACTGGAGGCACCTGGGACAGCACTGGCTTCCCCTACTCCACCCCCTTCTCCCAGTCTCATATGGGAAAACTAAGGCTCAGAGCAGGGAAGAAGCCTCATTGGGGCAGTGGCAAAGCCAGGTTGTAGGTGAGGCCCTACTATCTACCTGTGCTCATGGGCCCATTCCAACCCTGTACCAGGGCCTCAAGGCAGAGCCACCACCCTCCTGCCCTGCAGCCCCGATCCTGCTGGACATCCTGCCTGCTGTGGGAGGAGGAGGCGCTCACGTTGATCCAGGGATGGTTCATGAACTGAGTGATGGTCAGCCTCTCTGTGGGGTCTGTTTTCAGCAGGAGGCGGATCAGCTGCTTGGCTAGGGAGGCCAACGGAAGAGAGGGGAGCAGTGAGGTTGCAGAGTTCCTCAGAGCCGGCTACATGCTCTGCTGGGACAAGGGCTGCATGTGCTCCCAAATTCCCAACCCACAGAAATAGTGAGCTAACAACTATTTCTTGTTTTAAAGCACTAAGTGTTCAGGATAATTTGTTAAGCAGCAGTAGATAACTCATACAGGAGAGGCTTGTTTGTGGTCCTCAGAGGGGAGAATATGAATGAGGAGTAGGAGTCAGAGAGAATTTTAAGGAGGCAAGTTTTGAGCCTGTTTGGCAGATGTAGAAACTGAGGCTCAAGAAGCTTAGGGGACTTGCCTAGGGTCCCGTAGCTGGGAAAAGGGGGAGTCAGATTTGAACACAGGTCAGTTTGACACAGGTCAGTTTGACACCAAAGATTTCCCAGAATGAAAGCCGCAGGGGCCAGGTGAGGCAGGCCGGGGCAGAGAGGTTCACTCACCATCCTCAGAGACCTCTGACCACTCAGGATTGGGGAAGCCATACTGGCCCAGGCGGATCCTCCTCTTCATTCCTGGGGAGATGGCCTGGCCCGTGTTGGAGTAGAAGGGTGGGAAGCCACAAAGGCTGGGGGAAGGGGGAAGGCATTTGGCATAGGGTAGGGGCAGTGCCAGGATGAACCCATTTCCCCTCAAAAGCCCCTGACTGGGGAGAAGGGCAACCAGACACCATGGCAATACAGCCCTCTGGACTCCCAGGCACATCCCAGGAATGCCATCCGCCCTTGGCATCAGGAGACCCTCAGGCACCTGAAGGAGTGGTATCCCATGACCAAAAGGGAAGGGTAGCCTGCATGAGGAGTGACACATACAAGCCCCTCAGCAAGGACATAGGGATAGGGGACAGAAGTGGTCCTGAGGGCTCAAAGTGGGGGTGAGGGCAGGAGATGATACCAGGGTTGGGGAAGGTACTCACAGGATATACATGATGACACCCAGGGACCACATGTCACATGACTTGTCATACTTCTCTGGACCCAGGACCTCAGGGGCTGCCAGGGCAGAGAGACAGCAGGACTTTCAGCCTCAAGGGTCTTGGAGCCCAGGCAGGACCCTGAAGCCTGGGCAAGGTGGGGAAGAGGTGCCTGAGTTGGGAAGTAGGGCAGAGCAGACTGGCGTCTGGCACCTTTTGGGAAGGCAGCATGGGTGTGAAGTTGCAGGGGGAGAAAGCTCCCAGAAAAAAACAACCACTTTCAGACATACTCCCAGCTCCCCTGGGCCTGAGCCCCTCTGCCAGTGTCAACCTTGGTGAGAGAAGAGAAGAGAAAGCCAGTCTGGGCTTGATGGGAAACTGCTGTAGGTGAGAGGGCCTTGGCCTGCCAGCTGTTTTATGTTCCTTGCCTCCGTGAATGCACAGCCTAGGTGACAGGCAAGGAGGAACCAGGGGCAGGGCTCTGCATTCCATCATTGGCTTGGCTACCAATCCATGGAGCCTTTGTCTTCCCTGTGCAATGAGGTGAGTAGGCTAGAAGATTTCTAATTTAAAATACTGCAAAACACATCCTGGTTAACAGAGTGCCATTTAAACTGTCTCAAGGAGCTTCCCACCCCTTCAGCAGCCCTCTATAAAGACCTGTTCTAAGGGAGAAAAGCCCTTTGTCATCACCCCACTCTCAGGTTAGGGGGCAGTTTTGGCAAGGAGCTTTTTCAGATCTGGGGGGTTGCCCACTTGCAGAAGGGCAGGGAACTTTTCCAGGAAGCATGAGTATGTGCACACTTCCAAGCCCTGGCTTAAGTGACCCTCTCTCACAAGGCAGGTGACTGGTACCCTTTGTCCCTCCAATGTAGGAAGAAATGCCTGCCCACTTTCTGAATATGAATCTTAGGAAGACAAAAACTAGAGAAAAACAACCGCAGTTGGGCTCCGTCCCGAGCTGATGGCAGCCTTTTATCACATATATATTTAGAGCTGCTGTGATGTCATTCAGCTCACAGGCCACAGCCAGAATTTTCCTGGATCTATTTTCAAAAGCAGAAGCTGAAGTTTGGGAGAATATTTTTGCAGCCTCCGGCCCCCCACGTCACCCGCCTCCATGCAGACAGAATTCTCCCCCTCCCTCCTTGCTGGGCTTTAACCCTTTGGTTTCTGCAACCCACTAGCTACCCCACAATACAGCTGTATAAGTTGGGGTGGGGAGTTACAAATCATGTCCCAAGGACTCACCCACATAATAGGGAGTATAGCAGGGTGTCTGCAGGGCATTTTGGGTGGTCTCCTTAGCAAAGCCAAAATCGGTGAGCTTAAGTACTGCGTCTTTCTCCTTAGATGTGTAGAGCAGGTTTTCAGGCTAGGCCAGGAAAAGAAAACATTGGTTTGGAGTTAGGAACCAGGCAGGGGCAGAGCCCCAAGGTGATCTTCAGCCAGACTCCCCAACTCCATCCCAGTACAGAAGGAGTCAGGTCCATTTATAAAAAGACCTGGGCCTTGCCCACCAATATGGGCCAAATATAGTGAAAACCAAGGTGCCACCTTCATTCACAAAAGGGAAAGCCAAGGCAGGTGTTCAGCCAAGGCTGTTAATGACCAAGTGCCATAGAGAGCCTGGGGCAGGAACTTCTGATCCTGAGTTGGTGATATTGCCATGAAATGCCAGAGCAAGGGTGCTAGGAGAAGGTAGTCTGCTCATAAGCCAGTGTTGCTAAGCACATGGCCCATACCCAGCCTAGAGTGAAGCCTACAGGGCCAGCAGGACAGCCCCATTGAGGTTGCTCAGGTGAGAAGGCCTGGGTTGCTCAGACCCCAGGAGCTGCACAGAGGCAATCTTCCTGTGCCCCAGGAGTAGCCAGGGGCCTGGCAGATGAGGGCAGTGGAGAGGTCTGTCCCTGAAACTGGTTTTTAAAGAATGGGTAGGATGTAGGCCCATGGAGAGAAGCAGAAGAGACCCCCAAGCAGAGTTGGGGTAGAAGGATGGGGTGTTGGATAGAGCTGTCATTTAGAATCGATAGAAGCTATTTCTCAGGTTCCATTTGAGAAGATCTGACCTTCTCAATTGTGATAAAAACAGAAAAGCAGTTTTAGTTTATCCAAGGGAATCTCCTCTGCAGAAGGCTTTTCTCTCTTTGGGAAAATAAAAGAAGCCAGGGTCCAAGTAAAGCAAGGATTCAGAAGGTATGTCTGTTTGTGGCTCCACGTGTATCTAGAATCAAAGAATAACTGTGCAGCTTGAGGTACTCAGCCAGAGGAAGCACCTGATGCAGCAGCTGGAACCTCAGCTTGCCTCTGTCCAGTCTGAGGAAGAAATAAGCCAAGGAGGGTAATGTTCAAGGCTTGGGGCAGAGGGTCCAGGAGGAACAGACTCTGCTCTGATCGTGCTTACACAGACTGATGTATACACGTGCATGTGTGTGTTGTACATGCAGAGCTGCCTCGGTTTGCATTTCATCCATCTGATCCAGATGACCTCTAAGACCCAGGCCTCTCAGGATAGAAAATTTGGAGAGCTGAGCTTCCAGCTTCCACAATTAGCACTACCTCTGTTCCTTCCTCCAGTGCCCAGAAAATGGCTTTTTTCCCTGAAAATGCTGGTATTAGAGGGCCTGATCTGCCAAAACTATGGCTATGACTTCACAAAAGCCCCAACAGGGCCAGGTGCGGTGGCTCACACCTGTAATCCTAACACTTTGGGAGGCTGAGGTGGGCGGGCGGATCACCTGTGGTTAGGAGTTCAAAACCATCCTGGCCAACATGGTGAAATCCCGTCTCTACTAAAAATACAAAAATTAGCCAGCTGTGGTGGTGTGTACCTATAGTCCCAGCTATTTAGGAAGCTGAGGCAGGAGAATCGCTTTAACCCAGGAGGCAGAAGCTGCAGTGAACCAAGATTGCACCACTGCACTCCAGCCTGGGTATCAGAGTGAGACTCCATCTAATTAAAAAAAAAAAAACAACCAACTGCATCTGGTAGCCCCTGCCTAAGGCCCGGCACATCGTGTGTACACAAAATTTTTTGCTGAACAAGTGAACAAATGAATGAATGAATCCCAGTGCAGCAACAACAGAGCCCTGGGCAAGTCACTTAATCTTTCTCTGAGCCTTGTTTTCCTCATCTGTAAAATGGGTAATGGCATTTATCTCACAAGTCTGGGTGAGAATGAAATGAGATTCTTGTTAGAGCCTGCTGGCTTGAGGCAGGCACTCAGTTATTCTTACTACTATTGGGATTACTCAGTGTTTGAAGGAAACAAGGACACCCATCTGGTGAGAACAGAATGAGTATGCTGAAACTAGAGAAGAGGCTGAGAAGAGCAGTCTGGAACACACAGCAGAGGCTTTGAATGTGACTATGAAGCCTAGCCTCCATCCAGTGGGTCCTAGATGCCACCAGGGATTGTGGAGTGGGATAGTATCCTCTTCCCTGGGACCCCAACCTGGATCCTGGAGCCTTACCTTGACATCTCGGTGGGCGATGTTATGGCTGTGCAGAAACTGGATGGCAGTGCCGATATCCCGCATTATCTCTGCAGCTTCTGCAGAAACAGACAAGGGAGGAGGGGGTCAGTGATGCCAGTCAAAGGTCAAGCTCTCACCCTATCATCCCTCCTGGACACAGTCTAGCGCCTGATCAGCACAAGACAAGAAGACAGTGACAGCGTTCTTGCTACCCAGGATCTCTATCCTGGACCCCCACCCCAGACACCCCAGTTTCCTCCAAGGATACCCTCAACCCATCTAAACCTCTTTCCTCAGTCCTGAGCTACCTCTCCCCAGCTCAACTCGAGGCAACACTTCCATCCCAAAGCCACAGAGTCCATCTTTGACAAAGTGTCCCAGACTCAGAGAGTCCCTTGTGGGGATGGACATTGAGTCCCACACTTTCTTGTTCAGTTGGGAAGACTGAGGCACAGAGAGGGACAGGGTCTTGCATCACACACAACTCTCTGGTCCATACCTCTCACCCTGAATCCTCCTGCTGGTCCAGCTACATGCACATACCTCTTTCAGTGAAAGCCTGGTCACCACGCTCCTGAATCCTGCTGAACAACTCACCACCTTCCATGCTGTAAAAGAGGTGATATAAGCAGAGATGGGGGGGAAATTGCATATCATCCTACCCCTGCCCCTGCCCCAAATCATAGGCCCAGGCTTCAGGCCCTACCACTCTGCTCCTCCCCTACTAAACAGCCTCTGTCAGCCTCCCTGTCCCTTGGAGAACCTGGTACATGGTGGGTTGTCAGCTTGTCAGCTTGGGTGGGCTGAACTGAACTCTTAGAACTAGAAGAGGATGGGGGGCTCTGATCCCTGCCAAGAAGCCTGTGTGTTCCCAGTGGCACTGCCCCTACCTGACTGTAAGGCCTTGGGTACTCCCAACTCCTTTCAAGTCCCTGTTTCCCAAATGTGGGATGAGATGTTTATCATCATATGGCCACTGTTCTCTGGGCACCTATTGTATGCCATGCCCTGGGATCCACGTTTTATGAGCACTGCTGTGTGATCTTGGGCTGGTTCTTTCACCTCTCTGTGCCTCAGCTGTCTCTTTTGTACAATAGGGATGACAGCACCAACCCCATAGTCATGAAGATTGAATATGAAATACACATGGGCCACTTAGAATGGAGTCAAGCACAGGGTAAAGGCTACATTAAGATCTTGCCCATATCTTCACGCGAGTTACAGAGATTCAGAGAGGTTAAGAGCTGCCCTTGGTCACACAGCTAGCGGGTAGCAGAGGCAGGATCTGAACCCCAAATCTGAAGAACTGGCTAACCGGTACAGGAAGGAGGGATTTAAAAGGCAGACAGGGAGGAGCTGGGGGCCCAGAGTCTAAGGAATGCTGGTGCTGAGCCACGGTGTTACAGGAATAAGTCCAGAGTGGAGAAGGCCACTGGCTCCTGGTTCTAGGCCCCAAGCACCCAATTCCTAGTAGGACCATGGGAGCACATACCCAAGTAAAAAGAAGAGAAAGTTGAGGGAACTGTGTGGGTCCTGTTCTTCCCCAAATCCCCCATCTATTCACATTCAGGGATTGGGAGCCTTCTCTAACAGCTCTTCCAGTCCTCCTCACAGGGTGGAAATCACACCCAGGGAGGCCATATTAACCCATATGGTTTCTTCCCCACCCTTGAGGGAATGTTCTCACAGCCAAATCCATATATCCACAGGCAGGGCCTGCGGCTGCCTGCTCCATTACCCCTCAAGGGCTAGAGAGGCACCCAGATCTGCTACCTGAAAAACAAAGAAAGCCTCTAGAAGCATGGCAGGGAGCCTGGGGACCACAGTGATGCCAAGGGGGTATGGAGACAAGGTGGGCCAGCATACCATTCCATGATGATGAGGAGACAGCGTTTGCCGTGGTGCATGTTCTCATACACATCCAGGATGCGGACAATGTGGGGGCCACCAGAGGCCTGCCAGTGATGGTCCACCTCCTGCCGGGCCTTGGGGCTATCATACAGGAGCTGTGGGAGGGCGGGCATAGAAAGCATCAGGCCCAGAGCCCTCTACCCTCACTTTGCAGACAAAGACATATAAGCTCTGAGGCCTGTGCCCTGCCCCCAGGTCACACAGCTTATAAGGAGCAGAATGAGAATTCGAATCCAGGTTTCCTTGACTTGTGGTCCAATGAGGCTCTGGACTTGAGGATCAGTCCTCGGCTCAAGCAGCTTGGCAGGTAGTTCAAGGAGTCCCTGGGAGGTGGCTGACTGCTTCAAGGAACTTAGAGGCCAAAGACGCCCTTGCCTCCCTTCTCAGGGGCAGCAAATAAAATGGAAATTGAGTGGGTTTTATAACCCACTCAAATAACACAGCAGTCATAAGACCCCAAGCCAGGGGCCACACATCCCATAAGCCTCATTTTTATAGTGAAGATGACAGAGTTGTTCTGTTTCACAGGCTAGGGTTGGAAACTGTACATGTAAATTGTATAGGATGGCACCTGGTACACAGTAGCCCTTGATGCTTCCCTTGTGATTCTCACCTAGCACAACTGTGAGAAACAAAGTAGAAGATGCTGGGGAAAGGCTGGGGAGGGGAGAGGGTGCACTAACACACAAATCTGCTCCACACACTTCAGCATGACCAGGAGAGTGCTGGAGTGGGAAGGAAGACTTCCTGCAGGAGGGGTTGAGGCCTGTGTCTGTCAATCTAGCTCCCACAAAGAAACTGGCCCAGAGTGGAGGGAGACAAGGCCACTCTCCTGTAGAGGCGAAGGTAATTAAGATTTCAAATTCTCCAGGAGTAGGTGCAAGAACAAAACTGTCACTATCAAGAAAAGTGCTTCTAAAATGAGTTGCTTGGTCATGACCACCCAGTCAGTCCCCAGCTTCCAAGGTAGCTTTGTAGCCTGCCTGAGAGCTGCTATGCAGTACCAGGGCAACAATGTCATACCACCGTGAAAGAGGTGGAGCCATCTCAAGGTGACCTAGCTGCCCAGCCTCTACCCTTATCCCATGCTTACAGACCAATGGTGAGGACCCAGAGGTAGAGACTGGGGGCAGGGAGGACCCTAGTTGAGGGAGATGACAGCCGAGTAGAGTGAGATGTGGGTTTGGGATTGAATTCCTCCAATGACTCGGTGTGACCTCAGGCAAACATTCACAGCTCCAAGCCGCAGCCCACAACTCTGTAAAATGGAGTAATAGAAAAGTTATCCCCACAGGGTGCATCCCAGCAAGGCAAGCATCCAGTGGGCAGGCATCAGGATCCTTGCTCAGGTTAGCTCAGCCCTGGACTGTGGCTGCCAACCAGCACCAGAAATGAACAAGGCCGCCCAGTGGCTCTGCTGTAGGGGGAGAAGGAGAAGTCAACATGCAGGAGGAGATGGCCCAGAATGGGGACAGCAGGGACAAGACACCCCCAGAAGGGTTGCTCACTCAAGGCCCAGCCAGTGACACTGTGTTTCCTAACGGAGGAGGGCTGGGGACCAGGGCTGATGCTCAAGACCAGGGCTTGGATCAGCCCCGCTCAGCACCTGTAGGACCCTGGGCTGCCCCAGCCTTAATTTCCTCTTCTGCAGGATGGGGAGAGCCAGTCCACTTTACACAGGGCACTGTGTGGGGTAGGCTCTGGGGCCACACTCTCTACATAAAGGTAAACTAGGGCAGGGCAATGTCCCAGAGAGGGGAGAGGCAGGCAATGGTTTCTCGAGCCTGCTGCCCCTGGCTGTCCCTCCTTTTCTGGAGCTCCTCCCCTCAACCCTAGCCTGGGAATAGACAGTGCATGGAATACAGAGAGTCAGGGGCTGGACAAGCCCTCTAGCAGCTCTGTGCCCCTGCTCCATTACCCAGAGAAGGCTGGGGGTATGTGTCAAGGCTGCTGCGGGCAGATGCTCCTGCCTGCACATCCTGGACCCTTGCTCACACTGCCCTTGCCTGCCAGAACACCCCTCAGGTCGGTGCCCGTACAATTCCCAATCACCAGCTTCCTGCTCAACACTGGGCCCAGAAAGCCCCCACTCATCTCCACCATGTCCTGGGAAGGCTCTAGCTGGGAGTACCCCAGTCCCCGGCCACAGGAGACAAGATGAACCATCCTCCCTCCCTGCACCTGCTTCCTTCTTTGCCTCCTCCCCTTCCCTCTGCCAGGTCCCTTCCTCCCAAGCCTGACCTGACCATCTTCCTGTCAGGCCTCCCAGGCTGGCTCCCACACCCTCTCCTCACTGCCTGCCTTGTGGCATCTCACTCCCACACCAGAGTCCTCCTCCTCTCTCTTAAAAGCCCAAGCTCACAGCTGGAATGCTTTCAGTGAGGTCCTCAGCCCTGCCTCTCCCCTTAGGACTTTAATCTACCTGTGGCCACAGACACTTCCTCACCATCTTCCAGATAAATGCCACCTCTTCCCCTAGGATGCAGGGCTTGCCTTTTTGCCCACTGCACTTCCTGCCACCTCTGGGCCAAAATCACTTTGTTCTGGCCTGAAAAATATATGTGCTGTTCCCAAACAGGCCTTCCTCCCCCAGGTCTCTGTGTCTATGCCTGTGCTGGTTCCTGTCGTGTGCATTCTTGCCTCATCTTCTCCATTGGGTCAACTCCCTCTTTTTGAGGAAACTTCAGGGCTCAATTCATCTCTCTCTCTCTCTCTCTCTCTCTCTCTCTCTCTCTCTCTCTCTCT